CACCGCAGCGCGTGGGTGAGCAAGACAATTTGTGACATTTGTGATCAGTTTTGTTTTGATTTTGGCTTGAAATTGCCGCAAAATTTGTGGAATGTATTCGTGTTTGTAAGTGCCAGCGTGTTGCTCAAAACCGCTATCAAGCTTGGAGAGAAAGGCAAAAGCCCGAAAAAGCTGAAAACTGGTACTTTCCCAACGGCCAGACAGAATGCCATGCTACTAGATCTAGATTTAGATCGTTTAAAGCACCAGACTTGTAATCACTCCTTCCAAACATAGAGACGCTCCGAGCTTCTGGTTGCGACGTTGTTGCAACATGAAGCATCGCAAAACCATATAGATATACCGCCATGGCCCTGAAACGTTGCGAGGCACAGTGGAAGTTGAGGGGTTCAACAGGTGTGGTGCTGAAAAGGTTCAGGCGGTTGGCGAAGGTTTCCAACGATGACAATATCCCGAGAAAGATGAGAAAACTACAGGTGCCAAAGCAGGTGCAAGCCAGCGATGATCCACAATCTTTGACCTTCTGACAGGCTTTTGCGCGCAACTTCTGTCAGTGTTCCGGACTTTGTGCTTGTCTAACGGCTCTGGCGTGCGCAGTGGCTGCGTCTGTATTTATCTACATTGCTGGAGACGGAGCTGGAAATGGACCAAAGCCAATTGTTTCTTGGAATCTCAGGGGGCGACTCAGAGTTGGTACAGGCAACCAGGCAAGTGTAAACGTCGTCTCTCGTTTCTTCAACTTTTGGTGTGATCTTGAAGACACAATTTCTCGAATTGAAACACTGCCAGAAGGTGCATGCTCATTTTTTGATTGCAGATTCCAAAGTCATAAACACACAGTTTAGTATTGTGCTTGCACTGGGGAACCTCAAAAGGATGACTAAGATGATTTCTTCCAACAGTTATCTAGGGGAAAGCATAAAAGGGATACTGAAGGATCACAGCACTTTGCAAATGCAAGAGCAGATGTAGGAGACCATGAACGATAGGGGGTCTCGCACAAAGCGACAGGGGCACTTGTTTGGTTGCAACACGTTAACTAGGGTCTGGTTCCAGGGTTTGGATGTTCGCAAGGCCGTTGCCTACAAATGCAAGAGTGACCTTTATCTCGGTCGTGTGCTAAAGCCAGAGAAGAAAGGCCTTCCCCATTTCTGGTTGCCGACATGTCGAGGGTGAGGTGGCAGAAGCAGCAAATAGCAGTAAAATGCAGTCTGAGCGCTGTGCTCACTAGCTCCACTTGGTGGCGTCACAGCTATACGGATAGGAAGCAATGATGTGATGACTTCATTTTTCGAAGGTGACACTTGTAGCGCTGGTGATTCTTTTGAGCAAACAGCACTCCCATGAACGTGACTGTTTAGTCGGATGCAATCCTTCTGAAAGTTTCTGGGTTAGAGTTGTTAGAGATGATTAAGAGTTGACACTAGTTGACACTAGTTGACAAGGAGAATGGACAATGATGGGAATCCTGGGAAGCCACGAAGGACTTGCCATAGACGATACGACTTTTCAGAAATGTGCTGATGGCATTCCTCGCGTGTGGCCAAACACACAGGCTAGGCCTGGCAGTGGAAACTTCATAGAAACAAGTTAAACGATTTACCACTGACGGTGACAGGGTGCTTCCGACAGTGTTCACCACAGGGAGTACCACGATGTTTGCACATGTTTATTTGCATTTATTTGCTTTATTTGTAGTGTTTAGTTGCGAATGGTGTTTGCTTAATTTACTTTTTTTGCTTTGATCTCAGTGGACCACAAGATCACACGCTTTTTGTAGTCTTTTAAGCAACCGCTACACGCACAAAGCTGCATGCACAAGAGAAACATTGTGCCTGTGGGGGCTTCATGGATGGAATTGGGGGTAACACAATAACAATTTTCCAGCTTGTCCTTTCAGCCGTTTCGAAATTGTAGCCTTTAGCCTTTTACCAAATACACTGAGTGCTTTCATAAGTGCTCCTCGAGCCTAGGATTTCTTCCTCTTCTTTCCACTGCTTGAACAACAAGTCATTGTTTTGCCAGGACGGAAGTAGGTTGAGTTGAACCGTAGCAAAACGGACGTCACAAAGACCTGCGGCCAGGCTGAACTCACGTCGTTGCGACTTTTCAAAGCATGGGACAAGGCGCTGAAAGTGAAAACTGTGAAAAGCTTCAGAAACTTTTCAAATTCTGCAAAATCCAAACTGTGGACAAAATGGAGTGGATGGAGTGGATGGACTGGACTCGAAACCTGAAGAAAGTTTGCAAGTCTTTTTGCCAGGATTCTCGCTTCTTGCTCACGAATGTTAGTCATAGTCAGTCTTCTCGGTAGATTCCTGGTATGTTCGAATTGGTGAGTTTTTTATTTGTGAGGAAAATATTCTGATCAAAGAAAGTGAGGAAGCAATCTTCCGAGTTACGGATGACTTTTACCTGATGAAGAATGGTGTGAGACTTTACATCACATAACAATACACTCAATGAAGGGTGGTGTGAGACTTTACATCACATAACAATACACTCAATGAAGGGTGGTGTGAGACGTGCCGTCACATAACAATACACTCAATGAAGGGTGGTGTGAGACTTTACATATCCCCGTTGCCATTTCCTCCACAGAATGGGAGGGGTTGGGGTGCCTATAAGGCACCATTCTGTGGAAAGTGGTTCCTTTAAATGGGGTGGAGCTTGCCATTTTGTAGTAATTTGTGGGTTTTACCTGGTTTTACCATTTTTATTTTGAAGGCATGATCATTTATGGGCACCAAGACAAACCATTTTGTAACAAACATTAAAGGACCGGATAACCCCACATGTTACCAACTTCTTTAGACTTAGACTGAGCATACAAAAGCAAGAAGGGAAGAGGAAGTATAAGAGTGATGGAGCGGTGATGGTGGGTGAGTTTGTGTGTGTGTGTATGTATGTTCAAGTACAGTGAGTGAGTGAGGGAGGGAGGGAGTGAGTGAGTGAGGGAGTGAGTAGAGGGATTGAGTAAGTGAGTGAGTGAGTGAGTGAGTGAGTGAGTGTGTGAGTGTGTGAGTGTGTGAGTGACTGCCACGCCTGCCACGCAAAAGCGGCGGAGACCCAAGGGACACCATACATCCGAGCCCTTGGCAGTGCACATTGTGCCACACCTGCCACGCAAAAGAGGCGGAGACCCAAGGGACGCCAGGGCGTACATCCGAGCCCTTGGCAGTGCACATTGTCCCACGCCTGCCACGCAAAAGAGGCGGAGAGCCAAGGGACGCCAGGGCGTACATCCGAGCCCTTGGCAGTGCACATTGTCCCACGCCTGCCACGCAAAAGAGGCGGAGAGCCAAGGGACGCCAGGGCGTACATCCGAGCCCTTGGCAGTGCACATTGTCCCACGCCTGCCACGCAAAAGAGGCGGGACTGGGAATTGTGCTTTGTCAAGTGATGGCTAAGGGGGGTTAAAGGAAAAGGATTAAGGGAGGGTGTGTAATAATGTCTGCACAAGCGATGAAGTGGATCACTCGCACGGTGGCCTTAGGGGCTACGGGGGGATGGGGTTGTAAGAAGAAACAAAAAGAGCCAAGGGACGCCAGGGCGTACATCCGAGCCCTTGGCAGTGCACATTGTCCCACGCCTGCCACGCAAAAGAGGCGGAGAGCCAAGGGACGCCAGGGCGTACATCCGAGCCCTTGGCAGTGCACATTGTCCCACGCCTGCCACGCAAAAGAGGCGGAGACCCAAGGGACGCCAGGGCGTGCACATTGTCCCACGCCTGCCACGCAAAAGAGGCGGAGACCCAAGGGACGCCAGGGCGTACATCCAACCCCTTGGCAGTGCACATTGTCCCACGCCTGCCACGCAAAATGAGTGAGAGTGAGTGAGTGAGTGAGTGAGTGTGTGAGTGAGTGAGTGAGTGTGAGTGAGTGTGAGTGAGTGTGAGTGAGTGAGTGAGTGAGTGTGAGTGAATGAGTGAGTGAGTGTGAGTGAGTGAGTGACTGAATGAGTGAGTGAGTGAGTGAGTGTGAGTGAGTGAGTGACTGAATGAGTGAGTGAGTGAGTGTGAGTGAGGGAGTGAGTGAGTGTGAGTGAGTGAGAGTGAGTGAGTGAGAGTGAATGAGTGAGAGTGAGTGAGTGAGTGAGTGAGGGTGGGAGTGAGTGAGTGTGTGTGAGTGTGAGGGCGGGAGGCGGCGGAGGAAGGCGGATACAGAACTAAAAATTAAAGGACCGGATAACCCCACATGTTACCAACTTCTTTAGACTTAGACTGACCATAGAAGAGCAAGAAGGGAAGAGGAAGTATAAGAGTGATGGAGCGGTGATGGTGGGTGAGTTTGTGTGTATGTATGTATGTATGTATGTATGTTCATGTACAGTGAGTGAGTGAGAGTGTGAGTGAGTGATGCGAGTTGGTAACATGTGAGTGAGTGAGTGAGTGAGTGAGTGTGAGTGAGTGAGTGAGTGAGTGAGTGAGTGAGAAGAGGCGGAGACCAAGGGACGCCAGGCATACATCCAACCCCTTGGCGGTGCACATGGTGCCACGCCTGCCACGCAAACGAGGCGGAGACCCAAGGGACGCCAGGGCGTACATCCGACCCCTTGGCAGTGTACATTGTGCCACGCCTGCCACGCAAACGAGGCGGAGACCCAAGGGACGCCAGGGCGTACATCCGACCCCTTGGCGGTGCACATTGCCCCACGCCTGCCACGCAAAAGAGGCGGAGACCCAAGGGACGCCAGGGCGTACATCCGACCCCTTGGCAGTGCACATTGTGCCACGCCTGCCACGCAAAAGAAGCGGAGACCCAAGGGACGCCAGGGCGTACATCCGACCCCTTGGCAGTGCACATTGTGCCACGCCTGCCACGCAAAAGCGGCGGAGACCCAAGGGACGCCAGGGCGTACATCCGACCCCTTGGCAGTGCACAAGAGGCGGAGACCCAAAAGACGCCAGGGCGTACATCCGACCCCTTGGCAGTGCACATTGTGCCACGCCTGCCACGCAAAAGCGGCGGAGACCCAAGGGACGCCAGGGCGTACATCCG